ATACCCTTCGTTTCATAAACCCTTTAAGGGTTTATGGCGTTGTCATAAACCCTTCAAGGGTTTAGCATGATTTGTAGAAAGGACAAGGGTTTATTATTCTACTCTTTTTTTTTACAGTGTATCTGAGTCTTTCTTATTAATTGTGGAAATCTAGAATATTCATTCACTTGGTCGTAACCAAATAGTTTCTGATCATCTGGTAGGTTAGATTGATCATTATATACGCATGTTAGTCAAGGTTATTTTTGATAGTTGTAATTTTTTTAAACTTGATTTGCATTTGATGAAAATAAACATTGATATACCATCGAGTTTAGTTGAATTAATCATGACGTAATGAAGATGAAGCTCTTTCCCACGAGATAGAACAGGCTTGTTTATTTTGCTGTTAATCTTCAGCAACGAAAGATGTCTTATTTTGTTTTAGTTTCTTGAAGAAATTGGAGTTGATTTATATTATTGCATACAGTCTCTATCTCTTCGTCAATTTCAATGTTTTCTATGACAAATTAATGTATATCAAATGATTTTTATTAAAACGATAATGATTTTTTTGACGTTAAACCATTATTTACGTACGAAGCCTTAATAACAATACATTCATACATTAGCTCTCAACAATCACAATCAAAAAATCAAACAATAAACAATCATTACATTATATAACAATAAGAGAAAAAATAAAAGCCAAGAATAACAAAAAAAATGATCACATGTTTACGAGCAACATACATCGACGACAAGTTATTTATTTTCTTAATTTAGACGTTTCATTTTCTTCGTTAGCCGATTATTAGAAGTTCCTAAAAAATAGAAATTTCTTTAGATAATCATTGTAGGACATATGTTGAAACTTACGCTGAATCAACTTGTTAACCTTTTCGTCACTGATACAAGCTAATAATTTAATAGCTGTATCACGGTTGTTTAAAACTAAAACAAATACTGTCAATTGTATCTATCATGATAGATATGGTGACTTACTGTCAACATTGAGAGAATCCAAAAAAGTATTGCGAACTTCTCCAATATGACAATGTATGGTGCATATCCTGTGAAAAAATACATCAAAATAAACATGCATAAATAACACAATAAAATAACATACCATTTGATCAGCAATAACGATTCATCGAGATATCCATATTGCTCTAATACTTCAATATCACATAAACAATCTAAAATAGTAGTACGAGTCTAGAGCAGATTTATATGATTTCAACTAACCTTTGTATCGATTTGCTTCGTAATACGTTAAACATCTATTTTTGTGATATTCCATCAAGTCCTTCACATTTGTGGCACGATCAACTAAATCACTCAGTAACTAAAACATAAATCAATTCTAATTATTTTCTACCATTTAAAATTAAATTTTTTACTCGAATTTTATCGTTTTCACCAGGTACCGTAGCTTTTGATGATAAATTTTCTTTACTTTGAACCGGTTGCATATTATTTGTTAATTTTGTTTTAAAGAAAATGTTTATCGATTAGTGAGAAATATTTATTTTGATTCGACATATGGAAGCTACTGTATATATATAGTTATATTCCTCTTCGTCGACAGAATAGATAAAGACATACATTATTGAACCCAATCAATATCTAATGTAGAATTTACAGTGCCCTCTTTTAGGGTGTGGATGGGGGTGTTGGTGTGTGGGTGTGGGTGTGTGGGTGTGTGGATGTGACGTGGGGGTTTTAGTTTTCTCTTTACCAATACCCACACCCCACACCTGTTAACGCTTGTGTTCAAGATGTTGAATTCGTGGAGATGACGTAGGGCCGGTAATACTGTTGAAGAGGGCAGCAGTGTCATCGTAGATCAGCGAATATATTAAAAGGCGACTTGAGTCGCAGCCGACTGTGCGTAGTCCCAACGCATTTTTCTCATAATATCTATACGTAAACCGCTGTATCGTCTCGACTCATTCTATGATAAAACCTTTCGATCATTTTCTTAACAGTCGTTAATATCCTACCAACAACAACTCAGCGTTATAGTCACGATCTTTCATTCACATGTGTCATCAACATCCAAACTTGCGGGTGCTGGCGCGATCCTGCTGTGGCATATCACCTCATCAATGGACTGAACAACTATGATTTTCCGGCGTGATCGTCGCGACAAATCAGCTTCCGTATATAAATAGCTAAGTTAATCTCAATTTCGTGGTGATTGAGATATCGAATTGTCTACACTGAAAACAAAAAAGGTCTCGCACGAAGCCTTAAAAGGTTTCGATTTCGTCTAAAAAATCGAAACTCTTTTAGGCTTCGTAGAAAGTAGGTTTCGTAAAAGAGAATAATTTTATCTCCTATAAAAAAAATGGTTTTGCTCTTCAGGTTTCATAAAATACGTTACGCAGTATCGGAGAAAGGCTTCGCTGAATAGTATACTCTACTATTAAAGCAGTTTGCACCACTGTTCAATGCAAGACTCATGCATAAATATCTGCTTTCGCAGCTATCTCAACAACAAAAGCACTGGCGATCTCAACCTGTTTAACTTATCTTCTCGCGGCTCTATCACTACAATTCCGATTGTCAACTATTGAGCTATACAACACAACGTCCACTATCTTAGTACTTAGACTCTCTGATCGAAACCGAAAAGACAAGAACTTTTTAGTTCCTTCTCATGGGAACGGCTACAGTATCCACCATATCAAACCGAGAACAAGCCGATACAGATAATTCCTTTTGGAATAGCACCCACACCCACACAGGATAGTATTTTTTTACCTGAGCTTTATGAAAAAAATGATTGATTATTTTGGTGAGTTAATGAAAATAATACCACTGCTGTCAAGAACCTAAATAGTAAATATTCGAATATATTAATTAT